CCCAGAGCAAATAGATCGAATCGTACTTTAGCGTCTGGATGACTCTGAATAAGTTCCTTGATGTTGGTCCAAGCAATGCCTTCGCTTTCGCCTTTTTGTTTTGTACGGATGCTACCCATTCTTCTCGTACCCCAGCAATCTTTGCTAATTTAACTCGAAAGGGCTGAGTTTTAATTGACTTTGAATATATTCGACTCTCCAAAGCACCTTCAAGATGTAACAAAGTTGTATATTCTTCAATAGTAGGGACCAAGTCCTCCTTATTGAAAGTGAAGCAATTGTACCCTGGATTCCAGAATTGAACGACTCTCCAAAGCACCTTCAAGATGTAACAAAGTTGTATATTCTTCATAGTAGGACCAAGTCCTCCTTATTGAAAGTGAAGCAATTGTACCCTGGATTCCAGAATTGAACTAGGGCTCTGAATAATTCATCATCAACTTCAACATAGAGCAAATATGGGATGTCTCCGTAAGTCTGATAAAACTGCAATTTTTTGTTTGAATCCCAACTTTCCCAAATGCTCCGCAAATCTTGCATATCATTTCTTTTTAGTGAAACTAAGCATAACTGGCCAAGTCAGATACATAATCATCCTGCAGACTATCTCCTTCTTGTCTTTGTAAATCCTCAGCCCACTGTCTTACTTCTGAGTTCAGAATTATTTGATTTGAACACTTTTTATCCATAGATGAAGGCTTTCCAATGAGACAATTAACACAAGGATCAATGTCTTTTATCCTGTATGATGCAATGCAAACAGAAAAATAAATAACACACAAAAAAAAAATAAATTAGTTTACATAATAAAGGAATTTAATAATATAAATATTCTTTATTTAAACATGTTCTTCTGAATTAAATTTTAAATAAACATGTAATTTAAACAATAAATAAATTAACAGGAAGACAGAATTCATTCTCCTGTGTACACCTATTTTGGACAAAATTTCGGCATGACTTCTGATTAGAAGAGTTTCTAAGGTTTTTATATGCAAGGTTTCAGATCTAGGAATAAAGGTACCCGAATTGTCCTTGTTAGTGCCCCCTTGGGTTGCTAACCCTCAATCCTAGTCCATTACAGACTAAAGTGGACCGAGTTCAATTCGAGGGATACATTCTCTATGCCTGACACGGAGAATAAATTCTCACGAAGACATAGAGCATATGAACCCCGAAAGTTACTTGCTAGGTCTGACACGGAGAATAATTCTCACGAAGACGTCGCTTTCACTCCCACTTAAAAGGGACAACTCAATTATAGAGCTTTATGTAATGCAATGCAGTGTGTGTGAGGAGAAATGTTAAACTTTTGACATAAAAATAAATACTGAAATAAAAACTGCATAAAACAATATTTATAAAAATAATAAATAAATAAAAATAAAAAATTTGAAAGAAAGAATTAAAATTAAATATATAAATTTTTAATTTTTAACTAATAGAGACAATTTTATATTAATTTTTAAAAGTTTGACCAGTCCCCAGCAGAGTCGCCAAGCTGTCGTAAACCGGTTTTCGTCCGGGCACGAATATTAAAATTTGGCGGGGGAAATAATATTAATAATAATTTTGAAAAATTTTGTGAGTCGCCATCGGCCTTTTTGGATCAGGTAGGTCGAATACCTAAAAATTATTTTTAAAAGAGTTTTAAGAAACATCAATTAAAAAATTGAATGATCTGCGTTTTATAACCAAAAATTCATTCTTTTAATAATAAAGAGGGATTCGTGGTCGATTACGTTTAGGGAAGGATTAGCACCCCTACAACGCCCAAAATTGGTACTTTTTAATTATAAATTGTCTCTATTATTAAAAATTTAAAAATTCAAAAATATATTAATTTATAATCTTATAATTCAAAATTGTAAAAAAAATATTTATTTAAAAATATCCGAAAAGAACTTCTAGTGCCTTAAGACAGCTCTTTCTTTGATATTGATAAATATTAATTTAAATAATATTGTTTAATTTTAAAACATCAAAATAGGACATCCAGTTGTATTAAGACTGTCCTTTTTTTCGATATTAAAAATAAATATTTAAAAGTTAATATTTATTATATATATTTATGAATATATCAAAATATTTAACAATATAATAAAATAATAATTCTATTAAACAATATATTTTAAAAACAATAAAATAAATAAGACATATAAAATTAATAACTAAATTATAAAATAAACTAATTACTAATTATTAATTGAAATTATAGGGTTTAAATATATTTTTTTTTTTATTTAATAATTTAATGACCAAAATAAACTTATCTAAAATTCAAATTTATAATAAAATAAATTAAAAGTATGAACTAGGGACTAAAGAATTATTATTAAAGTTAAGGATTAAATCTATCATTTATCCTAAATATATTATTTTAATTAAAAAGACTAAAATGAATAAAATAAAATTCAAAGACCGAATTAAAATTCTTATAAGTTCAGTTTAGTGACCAAAATGTAAAGTTTACAAATATGAAGGACTGCGGAAGGGATTTAACTATTTTGTAATTACGCGCATAGTCCTTCCCGAAACACGTCGTTCGGAAGGACTATAAAAGTCCCAAACCGGTTGGCCCGAAGGGCAACCATTTCATTCCTCATTTCCTTCTCTCTCTCTAAACCGAGAGAGTTTAAAACTCTCTCGCCTCTCTCTAGCTTCCCTCACCGGAGGGAAGCCGGTCACCGGTCGGCCACCGTGTGCCGCCGTGTTATCACCGCCGGCCACCGCATCCGTGGCCGGAAAAATTTTTCTTTACACTAATATATAGATCGGACCGTCCTAAGGACGGTTCCGGTGTTATTTCTTCCTAAAGGTTCCCAATCGGAGCAAATCTACAAAGTACCTTCGGTATTTTTGGTTCTCCGGCGATGTTCAGTTTCGGCGACGGTCAAGGTTCCTTGGTAAGCCTCTTCTTCCTTTTTCTTTCTTTTTTTTCTCTGGTTCTTTGCTGCTGAGATCGTTGGTATAGTTTGTTTGTTTTTCTTTTCTTTGTCCTTTTTTTTTTCTTTCTCTCCGGTTCTGTCTTTTTCTCTGTCCTTTTTTTTTTTTTTTCAGGTGGTGGTGGCTTTTATAGCCACACCGGTGTTCGTCTCGGACCGGTCCGAAGAGGGGCTTCGGTGAGTCCCGGACTACCAGTGGTGACTCACCCCGTAGCCCTGGCGTGGACGGTCGGTGTTCTAGCTTCTGGAGTCTTCGGCTGGGACGTGGCAGCGGCGGAGGCGGCGAGGGCTGTCGGCAGCCGCGTGGAAGCTGGAGCGGCGCCGCGTGGCCCTAGGGTATCAAACCCTAGGGTTCCTCTCTGGAGCCATGTGGACCGTTGGATCGTGCCAGATCCAACGGCTGTGATGAGGCGGCTGAGGATGATTAGGTAGGAAACCCTAACTGGAAACCCAAATATTTAGGGTTTCCGGTTGGATTTGGACCGGTTTCAGTTGGTTTGTAACTGAGCCGGTTTAATTGTTGGTTTGTATTTAATATTTAATAATAAAAAAAAATAATAATAATAATAATAATAAAAATAATGATAATAATATTATATGATAATATATATTAATAATAATGATAATAAAATGGATAAAAAAAATAGTATCTTCAGGTAATGTGCAGGTTGATGCTTATAACCGGCCGTATTTTTTTGGGGATTCTGATTTGGAGACTGTGGAAGCAACGGTGTTGGTTCGTGTTTAATGGAAAAATTTGAGCCTCCAAGGCCATTATTGACTCGACACACATGGGCTCTCGGGCTATCAAAGCGAGATCCTCCTCAACTTCCTAGAACGCTACTCCGTACTTCAGGAACGGTCAAACTGAATACTGATGGAGCTGTCAACCAAGCAATTATGGAAGCGTCGTCTTCCGTAACGCTGATGGCGATTGGCTAACTGGGTATCATCGCAACTTGGGGTGTTGCTTAACCATTTATGTGGAAATTTGGGCTCTTGCAGATGGGCTTACGGTCGCTTGGGATAGCTATTTCAGGAAGATCGATGTGGAAATGGATAATAAGGAAGAGGTTCGTATCCTGTCTTCCCCTGCCTCAGCTTTTTGACGCCCGCTCTAATGCGCAGAGTTCGGAATCTTATCCACCGAAATTGGCATATCAAGATTACGCATGCCCCTCGTGAAGAGCTAATGATGTTACGGATGTAATAGCTTATTTTGATCGTATGATAATGCTAGACACGATAAACCTTGTTGACCCCGCTAATATTCATCGTCTCCTCCACCGTGATATGGATAAGTGGAGAAGAAGAACTCATTGCTGATAATGCAGCCTATCTTTGTAACCAAAAAATTAAAATACTTTGGCAACTTTTTCAACAATATATTTTAACAATGCAGTCCTCGGATTCGTCTGTTCAGTTATAAATTTGGATTTTGGTGGGATATCTGGAGCTGAGGTTTTGGATTTTCTTGGGCTTAGATTCTGTTCGGTTCGAATTCTTTTGGGTTGAATTCAGATTAAAAAAAAAATCTTAGATAGATGTTAAAAAATTTCTCAATTTACGTTAAAAAACGCTTTCTGAACCAAACTTTTTTGAGGAATTGATTGAAACTAATCATAGTGAATGCCAACATATGTACGGAGCAAACCCAAATGTAATAATTAAAATTAAACTCTCAACAAATTAATATATTTTTTTCTTTTCAATTTCATCAATCATTTTATCCTTCTTTAAACTCCAAGGAAAACACAACCATTTGGTACCCATGCACCAAGAGCTTGGTGCATGTGTTTTAAACACAAAAGATGGCTTGTGATGCACTCACTAATCCAAGGGAAGAGTCCAAACTAAGTAAACAAAAAGACAATTAAAAATAGTTTAATGCACTAAAAAGTTCTCTGGGGGAAAGTGACTGAAAGTTAGAAATAGGGTTGGTTTGGGGATTTGATTCTGAGTTCTAACACCCTAAATATAAGTTCCTCTACATTTTAAGCTTGGGTTTATACCCTTAAACTTGATATTATAATCCAGTTAGTATAAACAGATCACAAGTTTGGTAGTTCGAAGCCGTTTGTTTTTCTCCACCAAACTGAACTCGAATGTACCTTGACATTTTTTTATACGTAAGAATTATGGTAACTTGAGAACAAAGGCAGTCATAGCTACCCAATATAACAAACCAAATAACAATGGTTGCATTTCCCTTCAACTACAGGTTTTCTTTGTTTGTTTGTTATTTCATTGTCTAGAATCATGGAAAGATTTGTTCTTCTTCCCTTTGGATGTGTTTCTGAATCAGGTGTGGCGGTTGCTGGTCAGCAGCAGCAATCTGGAAGATCAAATTCAAAGCTTGCAGATACCCGTCCACCTTCTGCAACAAGTCTTTTTCTCCAATATTTTCTTTCCTTTTGTTTGGTCTCTCTTAGAGGACACTAACAAGGTTTTGATTTGTACTTTGTAGGAGCACGACATGAAGAAGAAGAAGAGGAAGAAGATAAAGAAAGTTTATCCATGAAGTCCGACGTAACTGGGTTTCATAAACTGTTCAAGGGTTTCAAGACATTTTCACATTTATTTGGTAAGCTAAGTCCATGTCTAGCATTTGTTACATCCAAATTAGGGATGGACCGAAGGAGTGTCGAGGTGTGGTCGTACTTTGAAAATTTCAAATTATCATACAATTTATGTATTTTATAATTTTCTAAATCTACATTCTCTAACATAATTCTCTAACATAAAATTATGTGTCTATTCCGGTTTGAAATCGATTTTGTTATCTTTTGTTTGGGTGTCTTAGTGTACAAGGAAGAGACGGAATATTCGGAGGATGATATGGAAATAGGGTTGCCAACAGATGTAAAGCACGTAGCACACGTAGGATTGGACGAATCTCCATCAAGCAGCCCCAGCATGAGCATGAACACGGGCAGCTGGGATTATCTTTTCTTGCCTCAATTACACCTCTTCACTTTCCCATCTGATCCTTCATCATGTGAAGCCATCGAAACACAGGCAGCCGTTCGATCTTCTACTTGAAACAAACCAAAATGTCATTGGCAAATCATATTATTGTTGTGGTGGGATATGATTATATTTAAGTGTCTAAGAAATGGTTAAAACTGGAATGGATTTTTCTCTGTTTTTCTACTTGATTTCATGATTTTGTAGTTCTATACGCGACTAAGATTAACTGTATAAAATAAGGAGATTTTTACGAAAAAAATAAATTATTTTCAATTTTCAATTTTAATCTTAGTTATTAAATTCAGTTAACCCAACTATTCAAAAAATCGTATAAAAACTTTACGTGATGTAAATGGACAAATATGAAACAAGACAATAATGTACACATGAATTTTCATTTGTGTTTACATATGAGAAAGGTAACTAGAGGTGTTAAATAGAAAACTCTACTTGAAGCAGTAAGGAAGGTTCAAGACATAAAGGAGGAAGTAAGCCCAAGTGACACCCGAAATGCCACCAAAGAAAAATCCACCGGTGAACTTAGCCCATCCATCAGCGGTTTGCAGCTGATCCGGCTCCTTCTTCCGCCCGGTCAACGTCAAAGAAGGTGTGGTCGACGGCTCTCCTTCCTTAAACAAAGCGACCCCATACATGGTGAGGCAAATGCTCAATATAACAAGGCCTGCAGCTGCCAGACTCCCTGCTCGACCAGCCACCGGTGTGTTCCTCAAGGGCCCTGCTTTCACAAACGGTCCCACCAGGAGAAATCCATGAGCCAGCCCTACCTCAACACCTCTAAGAAGCGGGCTCACCGCTGTACTATATGCCGGAAGATTGGACAAGTACCAAGCTATCAAGGGGCTTGATGTTATACGGGTTTCTAAGCTTCCAATGAATGGATCTCCATTGATGGGATGTATCACTTGGTAAGTTGGCTGCAACATTTAAAAACATGATGATACAGTCTGATAATCGGAAAGAACATATCTTGATCGAAATTTATTATGTGTTGGACGTACCTTTTCGGATTGGACGGCTTGGATGGCGAAGGAAGATTGCCTCCTGGAACTAGAAGGCAAGATTCTAAGCGAAGAGGAGAGACCCTTGGGAGAGAGCAAGGCCCGTGGAGTTGGAGAAGTGAAGCTTGACTTTAGACTGGCCATGGGGGAAGCAGCTGCCATGGCTATATGTTATCTGCTAATTCAACAAGGGAAAACAATATATGATAGCACAAAAATGTTAGCCAATATAAGGTTTTTGAGAGGCAAGCATGGCATGTGGCTGTTCATGCACACAATTTTATAATTTCACACCCCTAAGTTTTTAATATAACTTCTTAAATTGGCACCCCTAACATAAAATCATGCATCCGTCTATTCCCGTGTTTTCCCTCAAACCAAACCGACTCTATTCAAGTTTATTAATTTAGCTAGTGCAAAATCTTCATGTTTTAGGGGCACAGTTCGACTAGTATAAACTGGAAAACTTCCAACTTTGTTTAAACAAACTTGTATACATTATTTAACAGTCGCTAACCCTATATGAAAAAGTGAAGACTAACATTCATTCAAAGTGAAAACATACAAAGTGTACCGAAATTCACCGACCAAACAACACTATGTTAAGGTTAGTTTCTACCTGGACGTTGCTGAACTAACTGAATAAGCCTAAGAGGTTACTTGTTGAGTTGCAGGAAATTAACTATTGCTGCCTTGAGAAAAAGAACTCGTAATCTGGGTGCCTGTTAACCGGTGTCTTATTTCCCTTGGTAACAACTGCCCTTGCCATCAGAGATGTGGTCTCCTTGAGCGTCCTTAATCGCTCCTTCAGCATTCCGGATAGACTTAGGCCCTGGTTTTCACAAGTATCATTCGTTGTAGAGTGCCTCGGCTGGAACCAGCATTCACCCTGTCCAAGTGAGGAGCATTTCTGATTAAATAATCCATCATCTTTAAAAATAGATGCATGTCATATGCAAATTGCAGCAGCAAAATCGAAGTTAATAACTAACCAAGGAGGCAGTGATAAAATTAGGGAGAAGATACGCTCTGCACATTAGAATGAGTCTAGGACATTCTTTATTCATGATTAACAATAGAAGTGAACACGGAATCAATAATTTCATGAGATATTACACTATATTATATGAATGAAATATATTTTTTTTATAAGAATAGGAGGCCTCGTTAAAAACCCTCTTCTTAACTTTCAGTTCCCCTACAAAGGAGAACAAACAATCAGCAGAAGGAGGAAAAGAGTGCCTCAAGTTTTATTAAAATAAGGGTTTAAATACCTAGCATTACTCGGCGGAAGGAGGAAAAGAGTGCCTCAAGTTTTATTATATGAGATATTACACTATATTATATTACCTAATTTCAAAACAAAGAATTACATAGCTATCTCTTTAGGTTCTTCTAGGTTGGGATTTTCATGTGTGGATGTAAAACTCAAACAAGGCAGCCAAAAACCCTTTATGTCATTGGAGTAGAACTAACAAAATTGCAAGTCTGCCTATCCTAGTCAAGGATTGGTCAATGTGAATGGTAAGCTAACGGAAATAGAGCTTGAATTTGAAATACATCAAAGCTCAGTTAGGAAGGTTTGTCCAATCAAAGTTAAGTAGGCCACAAAGAACAACTTAAATGCTGTTCAAAGGAGAAAAAATGAGCCCCAAAAAGCCACCTAAAGTATCAAAGTTCATATTCAAAATGATAGCAATTGAGTTATTGTGGGTACCTGAGCATTGCAACTCTGAAGACCTACAACAGGAGATACTACACATGCATCCACACTAGGGTAATCATCAAACTTGGAACTTCTACGAACCAAATGGCCAAGAGAATGGTAAGTCAAAAAGGCTGCACGGAAATTCCCATCCGGAGTTTTTAAATAGGATACCATGCAACAGAATACCTGAAATATAGAAGCAAGCAAGCAAACATTACAAAACATATAGGTATATCTAGATGATACAGAACTTTCATCTTATGTTATCTAAAACAAAACCAAAACATGTTTCATATTTAGTTAAGCATATTTTTATCACTAACCATGATTGAGGATGCAAATCATGTATATCTATGTTGTTCAAATAAACTGGATCCCCATACATTTAGCACCGAGGAGATACATCATCTCTAACCAGGTCTTGTATCCTGAAACAAACAGAATCACAATCATGGTATTTGAAAAGAGAATTGTCACTTCATTTGCAAAATGGAACTTGCCAAACCTGCATCTTCACCTGTTGCCCCACCATTCAATGTTTGTTTACTTTTAATTAAAACAGCCAGAAGAAGCACAACAATGGCATAAAACAAACGCAGTTACGCACACCTAAAACTTACAGGCTAAAAGAAGTTTTCTACTGCATTCAGCCTACCATTCTCTCTGAAGCAAGTGCAGAATGTTCACGATTTCACTTATCAAATATGTTATAGGTCAAGGATAGTAATGTAAAGTTTTATGAGTATTTAATATCAAAATATGTATCTATGCAATCAAAATGACAAACTATTACATTCATGCTTAGCAGATCTCAATGGAGAATAGGGGAGAGGGATGAAAGTAGATTCCACCTGGGGAAGAAACTTAATGCATAACATGACAAGAGCCGTGATTAACACTTACTTTTCATATAATGTCCGTCTTTGTTGAGGTTGCTCAGATTCAAAGTACTCAAAAGCCAGTTCAAGACAAACAGACCGTGTAATGTCAACCGATTTTACAGGCAACACATCTTCAGGACAAACTGAAGATGGTTCTGATCTAACCACATCATTTACTTGCAGCTGATTACTTGGTTCTGCAGTGCAAGGCTGTGGAACAAGTACTGAAAATATTGATCGGTGACCAACAGTAGCAGAGTTTCTTGAAATGGAACAAGTATCAGAATCCCCGGAAATACCAGGATAAGAAATTCTGGTGTTATTCTGTGTGGAATTATTTGTACTGTTCCTGAAGAGTTGAACTGCTGACAAGTATGGAACAAAGTAGGCATGAAACGCAGATTGATCAATACCCAATCGTTCTGGATTTTTATGATCTTCTGCCCTTATTTCTAATCCATAGCTTCCATGTTTCTCATACCACTTCCAGAGGCATCCCAGTGGGATGTTCGGTGTCTCATGTCTACACAATAGAGCACTAGGACCCTGGTCCAACAAGCAAGTTTGACAGCCTACAGAACTGTATGAGTGACAAATAGCTGGAGAACAAAAATGAAGAAGCCTTTCAAACTCGGCAATGGGACACCCAGTGACCATCTGAACAGCTTCAGATGCCATTTGTGCCCTATATGCATCATTCAATGCCTTTGTTATCTTGTTTAAATCAGTTGCCGCTGCTGATAAATCCTGTTCTTTCGTGTCATCATCAATAAACACATTACCCCCAATATGCTTGCTTTAGTTTTCATTTTCATTTACACAAGAACTGAGATTCCTCAATTTTCGAATATGGTTCCTACTTTCAATAGAACTAATTTCATGTCTCAAATCCTTCCCAGTCCGACACAGTGTTCCAAAAGTAATGGAAGACAGATTTTCAGAGCAAGGATTAACTCTCTTCAAAGGTATTTTTGGAAATCCAGGCTTCAGCATCTGGCTCATTGGTATGCTCCGAAGACAAATTGGCAGATCTAACAGATGCTTTCAATCCACAATCCTTTATCTTAATAGGTATCCATTTCTGCAGAACAGAGCCCAAATTATGGCTTTGCTTACCATTTTCAGCAAGAGATATTCCTTTTTCTGTTTGAGCAACACCATTCACCATCAGATGGGATAGATAAACTGGACTTTGCACCTCAAACAAGTTTGGCCGATCCAAAGGGACAAATGATTTTTGCAGTATGTTGTTTTGGTTCTCTATGCATATATTATTCAAACCAAAAACAGTCCCACATACAGTGTCACATACAGTGTCACATGGTTCTATGCCGCTTGGACCTGCTTGAAAGTTGTCAACTGATTCAGATTTCATGGTCCCAACCCTTGGATAATCAACCTGCGAAAAGACCTTAAAAGATTATTAGTTAATCCATTATCATCCTCAGTATTTGAAACATCTAATATTTCATGTTTTGGCAAGCTAGTCTTTGAATGAGCATTTAAGTTTACCTTGTTCGGATGAGACTCCTTCCAGGAAAAACTGTTTTTCTCTTTTGATGCTGGACTAACTTTTCTTTTCAACTTCCTAGGAACCTTACTTTTTGACTTCTTGTCGTTGGTAATAGATAAGGTTGTTGCATTGACAGCATTAGTATTCCTTTTCAACGCAGGAACATCCTTTAAAGAAACATCAAACTCTGAGGAAAAGGGACTTGTTTTCTTCAACTCAGAGTTGCATTTCTCTACGGCTTTCTTCTGAATCCTTTGCCAGACAAAATGACTGTTTTCTGTTCCACTTCGACTATTATGGTTTCCAATATTTCCAGGTCTGCAACTACCAGAACTCACAGGAACAGATTTAAATTGCTTATCCCTCTTGCTTGAAGCAACGTTTCGTCCATGAAGGCAACTATCAGCCAGACCATGCTTGCTTTCCTCATATAATCATGGGTTTGTACAGTGCTAAATAATGTGTTTTGTTGATAGGAGGACCCCTTCTTGGTACCAGAAACTGGTCGAGGATGTTCTTGTTAAATGGCTTTAGAATAACAGCATTTGTACTGTCTTCATAGTTCGAACCAACAGAAACAGAGTCCAGAGAATCATGCACATCAGAGAAATCTTTCGGTTGTAAATCTTCAAGAGAGCCCATATGAGAAAGATGTTTCCCCTCCTTATCTCCTTGACACCTGGAAAGTTGGTAGTCCTCACAGCCCATTTCAGACTTATTTATATGATGCTCCCTCGGGAACTTCTGAACTTCAGAGGGTACAACAAATTCTGATATATCCACTTCATCAATGTCAGATGTGCTTATATTTGGTGAACCAGAACTTGTAACAGCGACACTGCTGCTGTCTGCAAAATCAATTACATTAAGCAAGCTATCAAAGGGTGGAACTTCAGGTGAAGTTGCATATGATACTACTATACTACAATTTATATCATTATTACCTCAGATTTCAGATGCTGAACTTCCATGGGTATACTGAGAGTAAACTTCTGATTCTGTGAAGCCAACATCACACGACTGTTTCTTTTTATGTTTTCCCTTCTTTTTTGCCCTCTTC